CAAATATCAGATTTAATAAAAATATATAATTAATCGATTAGTTCATTAGGTCTTCTATTATACACGGTATCAGAAGCAGATAGGTTTCACTGTTTTAGCTTCCTACATGAGTATTCTATTTTTAGGTGATGACAGAAATTGTTGACGAGGTGCATCGTCTTGAGGCTTTGACGGACAACTACCAGCAACCTTTTTACGATGATCCTGTATACCTTGGTTCATATAAAAGGGTATGTTTATGTATCTGTGTTTGGTTTTTTAATCTCTGTTAATGTGAACTTTTTAACTTTGTCTGGCTTCATATATCATCACTCTGATTATATTCTGAGTTATAAATTTCAACATTTCACTTTTTTTATATAACTTTCATAGAGCTTATGCACGGTCGCCAATTCAGGCACAACTGTAAACCTCAGTGCATATGTCACTATTTTTTACATGAAACCATAATCGTAATTCAGAGGTGACTCGATCACCACATTACAATTGGCTGAATGAAATACTGTTATTATTGGATCTTCGTCATCAAAGACTGGCCGAGATTAAACTGCAGAGTAACCCTGATTTATAATGACTGATCTTTAAAAATTGTTTCTCAGATTGATATTAGGCTGCGTTCATTATTAGATAAAGGTCATATTCCTCATCGCTAGCAGATCTGCCTGAACGAGAATTATCCATGTATTGTATTTTCATCCAGCGCGTTCACAGCCGTTTTGCGATTCCCATATAAAAGTGGTTTTGGAAAAAACTCCATTCTCCTTTATGGCCTTTTTTCAAATCTAGCAGGATGCCGGTCTTTCAGTTCTTCTGAGAGTTTTGTGAGACAGCCGGTTGTAGGCATTTGCTCATTCGTGACCCGGGCCCTCATCGCACTTTGAGGATACTTCGCAAACTGCATTTGACAGTAGCTCTCTAGACTGCCATCTAGATGATCTGCGTGACTTTTTAGACATCAGATGTTTCGAGATTATCCATCAGCACCGTGAATACGGCTGCTTTTTGTCTTGATGTCCGTTCTTACCATCCGATCATTCCATTGTGCTATGCACATTAGTCTGAAATTCGTCTGTGCTGTTCACTTCAATATCAGTGTCGCCATTCTTAACTCACAGTTAAAAAATATTTGAAGTGATCCACCTTTTCCATCGTAGTATTATTCCATAATATTCTTGGACAGCCGGATCATCAGGCACTCTCTTTATCTTTCTTTATGGCTTTCATTTCTAGCGTCATTCCTACAGCCACGTCCTCTAGTGTCGCACACAATTTCTCAGAGTCGGTAGGCTTTTTATGAAGTCGTTCAGCAGCACAATACCATTGGCATACTCAAGCTCCGTTAGGAATCCCACCGATTATCCCGAGCTGCGTCGCTGACTAACGTTCAGTCCCTCGTTATTTGGGACGATGCACTTCTGCATAGCGTAGTCTGTTATAACGTTGAATGGCAAAGGAGAGAGCTCCTGGCCTTGGCGAACTCTACTGGTATTGTTTAACCAGTTCTACAGTGATCCTTCAGTTCGGATAGCACATTTAGTCCTCTCAGACAGACCTATAAGGTTTACCAACGTATGTGGGATTCCGTTACGCCACATTGACTAACCATGAACTGAATCAAACTTTGCCCGGAAGTTCAGAAATGTATTTTGTTAGGTAAGTTGAAAGCTCTGGCACTGCTCGATGATTCGTTTCTGCGCAGAGATGTTGTCAGTACATGGGTGCTCACTTCGAATGCTTGTTTTATTAGTTCACAGTCAAGGATCAACGCATTCCCTTAGTTGTCTAAGAATGATTCGCTTTAGAGAAGAAAGACACTTCGAATGCTAAGAGTCTTTCTAAATGAGAAATTCTCAAGCACCACTAGGAGGGTGGTTTCTCGAGAGTTGGTGCAATCCTCACGACTCCTACTCTTGTAGATCAGGATTATCACGCCGTATTTCTAATCTCTGCGGATCACCTGCCGTCGACAAATTCGGTCAAAAGCCTGATGGATCCATCGAATAAAGTTTTCATGCCTACACTTCAAGACTATCGCTCCAGTCCTGTCGTACTCACAGGATTTCGAGCTTTAGCAGAGTTGTATTGCCTCGGATATTTTGGTATTCAGTTAGAGTGCCCTCAATATCTAGATATTTTCTACTTTTATTTCCATTTGGAGATTTACTGTAGGACCTGCATTACTGCCAAGCTTTCGAAGTGTTAGGTTTATCTTTCCGACGTCCAAAAGGATACTGTAATGGCTTGTTGGAGTTGCTGTATAACACAACAGGGTTAAGATTTTGTTTGCCACCGCCGGTGATGATGGTCACATGGTCATGCAGTATTTTTCAGTCCTCTTTCGCCGCTGCGTTTTCCAGCTTCTGCGGTTCGAGGTCTAGCCAACGTTGTGTATCTTGCCGGTAGTTTCTATTGACTTCTTCGACGAGGTAATATACTCATTTTTCCCGTTAGGTCACGTAAGGACATCTGCTTCGCCATATTTCTTTGCTGGCAAAGATTTAAATTTCGCATAATGAGTCAGTACTGCTTCGTCATTTTGTCTCCCTGTGGAGCGCCTCGTAAGTGACAGGTTCCTTCAATATTTCCGTGTCATAGTGTTCGTTCTCCACCTCCCGACTCTTGCCAAAAGAATGCGGAGTTTCGCGACCACTAGAAAATAGTCAGTTCTTATGTCTACACTTTATTTCGCCAGTGTCGTGAAGGTCTCTTTGCTATTAGTCGCTGATCAGTACGTGATCCCTTTGGTTTTCGAAGTGATTCTCTGGCGCCGTCCACGTCTCCTGATAGATGTAACGATGTGTAAACAGCGTTCTGTCAGTGTCTGTAGAGGCTGTGCTTGGATGCAAGGGTCTAACAGGCGGTGACCGTTGTTATTGACAACACCCTTGCCATATCGGCCTATCATGCGGAGCTGGCTTCCCCGGTTAGCGCCTACCTTAGTGTTGAGCTCACTGACAACAACCGAAATTCATGTCCTAGGGAAGAACCAAGAGGCGTATGAAGACAGAGGTAGAACTGGTCATTCTGCGGTTTCTCTGCATAGATGGTTGAGGCGTACACGGCGACAAAGTTCATCCTAACGTTTCTCGTTGTGAATCAGCAAATGATGACAGAATCATTCCTTTTCCTCTACTGAGATCAAAGGGTTCATCACTCAGGGGGGGACACCAGAATTGCAACTTCAGCCTCGCAGCGAGAGTTCTGATTGCCTGACCACTGGATTCCGCAGTTACAAACTGTCACGTTTTTGAACCTGTAGTAATGGAATAATCAGCCTTCTAATTTTGCTGCATTTATTATCAGACCCCGTTTCTGAGTCGGATTATCCGTTCAGGCGATGCAGCTAATAGAGCGATTGGGTTATTGATTGTATGTGTAACGGATTTGACGATCCGTCGTTCAGGCATTAAACAAAACTGATGTTAAAGCTTTTAAGCAATAAAAGCTTTAAAGTCAGCTTTGTTGGCTGAACTATGGTTTGTTAAATCCATTACAGACCCAGCATCGAAGATGTAAAACCTTTATGATTGATTTTGTCTTCAGCGTAATAATGGTCTCGTTCTTTGTGATCATATGCTTATCTAGTGTATAAAGACCTGCTGTATTCGAGTATGGGCATAGTACCGCTGAAGAAATAGCGGTAATTAAATTCAGTGCATCATTTATGCTTGAGATTTAAGTATTTCATTATGACTAATGTGGTGCTGTTGCACTATTTATTTATTTTTGTGTGGGTGAATAATATTTTCATTTCTAGGATCTGATAAATTATCTTGACTCTGCAATCAATAATGACCTGATGGTGCGGTGTTCTGGAGGACTGCTTGAAGGGATTTTATTGATGGAACGGGACATAGTGCGTAAGTGGCATATTCATTTTAATGATTTGAGGATTACGTTGGTTTATGTCACGGTGGGGTTGCAGTGCCTCTGCTTGAGACGCATAATTTGTCTGTATATAAGTTTCCCCTTGTAACACTTTCTGCTCCTAACGGCTTAATTTTTTTCAGCGAAAAGAAAAAGAATTATCTTAACTGTTAGGTGTCGGTCTATGATGTGATGCAGATTTTTTGTCTGTTTTTTTTACTGTGACTTATGGTGCTCATCTAATCTCCGTTATAGTGTCATCAGTCGAATTTGTTTTCTAGACTACGGCATGCTGGCACCTGTTGCGCACGTAAATTTTTCCCATGTAGTCATGCGATTCTTTAACATATTTTGGAAGATGAAATTGAAGCTAATAAGCTATCGTTCGAATCCGTAGTCTTTCGACATTATCTACGGTGTTCTGGAGGCTAAGCTGCACGAACACGAGTTCATTTAAGTAGTGAACAGTTCGACGATATCTGCTGCATCAGCAGTGCCTCCAACGTCAATTTTCTGTGCGTAAGACAACTCTTATCAGTTATGTTTTCCGAGAAACGTGTTTCTAATATTTTCATAATTGCATTGTGAGCATTATTATTTTTTTGACGAGTTACACCTGGCGTTGATCGTTAGTAATCGATCATATAGGTTAATGCGAATGGCACCACAGAGCACACTCATCAGACAGTGTGATCGTATATCTCGCATGCTGTAGCATAGTCGCTGCAGAGCATCCTTCCGCCTCTACTATTCGGAGATCATCGATTTGCTAATAATTGCGTCAAATCATGCTGGACTGAATTCCTTGCTCAAGGGAATTAGCTGTTTTAGTTTAAGAATTTTAGTTTACTCTCGCAATCCACTCGAATCTGACACCCAACGTTCAAAGTAGCCCAACAGACTACTTTGTCATTGCCCCTGTTCTATGTTCGAATCCAGTTTTGAATTTGTAATGGCAGTTTTCATTTTTTTCTATCATCTTAAGTGAGGAGGAATCTAGTTGGCCCATTTTGTCAAGGAAAGAAAATATTAAATAAAATTCTCCTACCCATCTCCATCAGTGGTACTGCGTTAGTGGATTATGTTTCTGTCTACCATTGTTCGATTCCTTATCAGTCGTTCGTTTCGATCGTCGTCTTTTTTTGAAGCAGGGAAAGCGTGATGAAAAGGTTCATCATCCCATAAGGGCTGAAAGATACGCGTGGTGGTCTCCTACCCTTCCGTTCTACATTGAGTTTTGAGTGTCTTTTAGACAAAATTGCCTTAAAATGCTAAGGGGGTTCGTTAGCCCATGTTATTATTTTCACATTAGCCAGTCATTTCATTATTCACGAAATGCCACGTTTGCTCTCACAGCACGTAATAATAACTATTTACTTTCCTACGACCACGGTTGTATTCTTTTCCGCAGCTATACATAAAAACAAGACTGTGTATGTGTCTTAGTAGAAGCTACGTTCCAGTAGTGATTCACCTATTGTTCAGCTTCAAATCTGGCAGCGTATTGCAATGACTGATTCATACGGGACACGGCATCCTTGTCAAGACAAATTTACTGCTGTTCTACATAGTTGGTACATGTTTTTCAACAGTTCGACGCATGGAGATTGCAGTGATGTCTACGGAGGAAACATGCCACACATTAATGAATTGAAAAAAGCGACTGTAAAGGAAACAAGTTAATGTCCAATTCGTTCTTATAAAGTAGTAACAGTTAAGTAATATTTACCGGAGTCCTAACAGCCGCTTCTATCAGTGGCAATACACGGACAATTGTGCGTCTAAAAAATTGAGCCTCGCGCAGCAGCTACTGAATGCCACTAAAGCTGTTCGTCTTGTTTGGAAAACCTCAAATGGTAATGGCTAGAATGAATGTACTCCTCCACATTTATCTTTCTATGCGATCGCTC